TAGGAAGCAGGCCAGAGCTGGTAAGGCAGAAAAAGAGTGAGGAAGGTTAGGGGGGTCATAGCCTGATGCTGGAGGGACCAGCTTTAGTTCCCCTTTCATGGTGCTACTGACACAGTGTAACCTCAGTGTTCAACCCCTGGGCTCTTTGCTTTCCATGAGTAAGGAAGCAAGAATGCTGCCTCCCTCCACCCCTTCCACAGCCTGCTGGGGGCCTGCAGCTCCAGCAATCCCCCTATCATGTTACAGGCCCAGAAGCAGCTTTCAGTGCCTGAGGTTGCCGGCCGGCTTCACCCCTCACACTAGACACTCAGGAAGAAGGGGTCCTTAGACTCAAGGAAGCTATGTGACCAGCATTCCATGTCTCCTTCCCAGAACTGTTGAAGAGTCCGTCTGCCCCCTGTGTAGGAGGGAAAGAGGCGCTTTGAGCCACACAGGAACACAGACAAGAGGGAGAGGGAGTGAGCATAGGGAATGTGGGAGTGAACAGCACATGCAGCTGTGGGCCCAGCTGCCTGGTTGCTGGGAACTGCTGGCCAAGGATACAGCATCCCCATTGGCCTGGAATCCTGGAATGGACTCCAGCCTGACTTGGTCTTCTGAGTCAATCCAACTGCAGTCAAAAAGGGGAGGCAGGCACTCGGTGTAGGAATTATAGTTTACACAGTTCTTCTTCCTATCTCTAGCATCCAGAACTGTGCCCAGCACATAGTAGGTCCATGATGAATATGGAATGAATGAATACTTTCACATGCAAGCATGATCTCAGCCAATCTGCAGAGCAAGGCACAGGCTGGACAGGTGTTGCTTCATTTTGCAGATGGGAGAACTAGATAAAAGAGTTAAGCATAATCCCAGCATTTTGGGAGGCTGAGGTGGGCAGATCACTTGAGGTCAGGAGTTCGAGACCAGCCTGGCCAACATGGTGAAACACCATCTCTACTAAAAATACAAAATTAGCCAAGCATAGTGGCAGACACCTGTAATCCCAGCTTCTTGGGAGACTAAGGCAGGAGAATTGCTTGAACCCAGAAGGCGGAGGGTGCAGTGAGCTGAGATGGTACCATTGCACTCCAGCCTGGGTGACAAGAGCTAGACTCCTTGTCAAAAAAAAAAAAAAGTTAAGCAACTTGCCTAAGATCATTCAACTCTGACGTAGCAGACTCAAGGCTAGACACTGTGGTCTTTCTATAGTGCCATGCTGAGCATTCTTTCTATACAACACAGAACTGCATCCTATGACTCCATGGGAACTTCCTTTTGGGTCAGAAAGTCCTTAGGGGCTGAGTTTCCTGGACTTAGTCTCAGGGCCAGGTTTGGATACCCTGCCCCTCCCTGCGCATCTGGCATCTGCCTTCCCTTTTATGAGAATCTCCTGGAAAGGGCTTCTCCATCAGTCTCTGTTGCCACATCTGACTCAGGAGCTCGGTACCCTTGAGACACAGAGGCAGGGGTTGGTGGCTTCACTCTAGGAGTCAGGAAAAGAATGAACTCATACACATTCAGTTCCTTATTCTCTTACCCTCAGTAGAAATTTCAGACAGCCTAGACCACAGAGGCAGTTCTTGGAATTCAGGCAAGCAACTAACTTGTATTACAGCGGGTGCAACTTAAGAGCTCAGAGTCCATAGTCCGAGCAGTCTTTCTGGAAGGAGGTCTCCAAAGTCAGGAAGAGGGCTCCCCCGAGCTGGATCATCTTAGCTCACTGGCCCCTCCCTTCACAGCGTGCTGTCTTTCATGAATACAGTGAGGTATAGCACATAGGAACAAGGATCAGAAGATGCTGGGTTTTAGTGCTGGCTTTGCTGCTCATCAACTGTGTATCTTCTCTCCATTTCATTTTCCATATCTGCAAAATGGGAACAACAGTACCAGTCTATATCACAAGTAGTTATGAGTTTAAAGAGAAATGGTTTACATTAATGTGCCTTTAAGCACAAGACAGAAATACAATATAAAATATATGGCTGGGTGTGGTGGCTCATGCCTGTAATCTCAGCGCTTTGGAAGGATGAGGTAGGAGACCCCTTGAACCCAGAAGCCCAGCAAAACCTTGTCTTTAAAGAAAAAAAAAAAAAAGAACCGAAAGTCTAGCACATGCTATGCACAAATATTTCAGAGAGTGCTAAAGATTAGCGCATTGGCCGGGCGCGGTGGCTCACGCCGGTAATCCCAGCACTTTGGGAGGCCGAGGCGGGCGGATCACAATGTCAGAAGATGGAGACCATCCTGGCTAACACGGTGAAACCCCATCTCTACTAAAAATACAAAAAAATTAGCTGGGCGAGGTGGCGGGCGCCTGTAGGCCCAGCTACTCGGGAGACTGAGGCAGGAGAATGGCGTGAACCCGGGAGGCCGAGCTTGCAGAGAGCCCAGATCGCACCCCTGCACTCCAGCCTGGCGAGACTCCGTCTCAAAAAAAAAAAAAAAAAAAAAGAAGAGCACATGGATAAAGAGTTGGAGGCGTAGGGGGGAGGAGGGGGCGGGTGGTGAGGGGGAAGGGTGTCAGGCTTCATAACGGTCTCCAAACCTCTTTGTGCAGGAGGAAATGAAGTCATCCGCTCTCAACAATCAGCATGACAGCCTCCAGCCAAGTAATCCGGAGTCATGAGAGCTGCTAGGGGAGCAGCATGAATCATGACGGCCTCTGGGAATTTCCTGATAACTAACCTAGGAGTTTCGGAGTAAGTCCTCAGGCTGCAACATCTCTGTTTACATTCTGGTCACGTTTATTTACAATTAATGGGTTCTCAAATCCAAACAAAAATGACCACAGTCTTCTAGAGGAAGTAGCAAGGTTGGCTCTGAGACCTATAGCATCTCTGACTCAGTGTGTCCCCTGGAAGGCTGGCAGTTCAGCAAGCACAGAAGTCTCTCCAGAAGACAGTGGGTCACCTGCCTCCCAAAAGCTGAAAGGCTAACTTGTACTTTCCCCAGCTAGCAGCTGGCATCCTGAGCCCTCAGCCGCAGCGGAGCAAAGGAGCCTTCCTCCTTCCTACCCTTCTGGCACTCTCCCTGCCTGCCTTCTGTCATTCTCAAGTGGACCCAGACCTAAGATCCAGATTTGCAAGGCAGGAAAATGCTGCAGGCCTAGGCTGGGAAAGGGACCAAAGCTTGAGCCCCTAGTGGATTGCTGGGACTCAGCCTCCTCCCTCCCACTAAGAGAGCAAGTCCTACTGGGTTCAAAATGACCCCAAGCCCTGGTTCCTGACACTAGGGGAAAGAGATGGGGGTGACAGAATCACAGAATCCCTACTATACTCCTCCAAGTGTGCCCAAAGATGCGTGTGTGTGTGTATACACAAATGTCTGCTTATCCTTAGGCAGGAGGGGTGCATGCAGTCATTTACACATGGTCTGTTTTTCTGGAGGACAATTTTATTTGATAAACAATTGTTTCTATCCAAATAGAATAAACAAGGCTCTGTGATGAAGTAAAACACTAAATACACATGCATTTAAAAATGTGTAATTATCTTTGGAATGGGCTATACAGGGATGTGTTTTTTAAAACGTAAAGAGTGTAAAAGGACATACAGTGAAAAATAAATCTTCCTCTTATTTTGTCCTCCAGTCTTCCAGTTCCTCTACTCAGAGGTGAGAACAGAACTTCCACACCCTCCAGAACCTCCACAGTTAACTGTCTACATGTTTCCATTGTCTTTACTTTTATTCTTGCCCGCACAAATAAATGAACTGTTCATTATGAAAACTTCCCAAAAGACCCATTAACACTTCAATAGGAAGCACCAACAGTTTATGCCGTAGGACTTTGTTCCCACAATCCTGTAACATCATATCAGGACACCTAATCCAATCCTTATCAAGCCCTGTCAAAAACGGACTTTAAATCAAACTGCAAATTTTCAGTAATCTGGTCTTGCCTTTCCTCCTCTCTGATAGCACCATCAAACTCCCTTACTGCCGAAAGCAGTAAGTCCGGCTTTGTTCCATCCACTGGTTGTGTTGGTGATATCTAGGGACTGCCACTGAACAGAGAGGCACAGAGGGAGCCCCTGCAGGCAGGGGTTTTTGTCTCTGTTTCTGGGAGAGTGTGCCTCCTACATTTGTCGCGTTGATGAAGACTTCACAGCTCCATCAGCTGCGGGCAAGGGGGTCTGAGGCCCTCTTAGGCAAGTTGGGGCCCAGCAGGGAGAGGTTGGAGAAGAACTGATTAGGGGACCCCAGGAGGCTTCAGAGTTGGGCGAGGTAGAGAGTCTCCCGTGCGCCTTCTCTCCTCTCTGCAATTCGGGGACTTCGTGCACTGGGGCAGGCCCCGGGCCAGGTTCATGGGAGGAAGCACGGAGAATTTACAAGCCTCTCAATTCCTCAGTACAGACGCTGTTGGGTCCCCTCCGCTGGAGATCGCGCTGCCCCCAAATCTTTGTGAGCGTTGCGGAAGCACGCGGGGTCCGGGTCGCTGAGCGCTGCAGGGCAGGGGAGGGAGCTGGGCGGGAGAGGGCGGGGCGGCGCCGGGGCGGGCCCTGATATAGAGCAGGCGCCGCGGGTCGCAGGACACCGCGGAGACTGCAGCCCCGGACCCCAGCTCAGGGTCCACCTGTCCCCGCAGCGCCGGCTCGCGCCTTCCTGCCGCAGCTACCGGTGAGTGTCGCGGTATCGAGATCCCCGGGCCGGATGCGCGGCGGCCCCAGTTCCCGAGCATCTGCCTCCCCAGCTCCGGGCTGCCCCGGCTCCCTGGCGGCTACACGGAGTCACCGCGGCCGCTCCCGGGCGTCCCCCGCGGGTGCCGGTCCAGGCTGCCCGGGAGTCCGGAGCCCAGAGAGGAGAGAGACAGCCGGGGCTGGGGAGCCTGGTCACCGCGGGCACCTCCCTTGCGCTGCAGTCGCCAGCCTGGCCCGCCTTCCCGCTCCTCCTTCTCTTGCCCTGACTTCTCTTTCCTTTGCAGAACCGCCGTCTCGCGCCCCGACCTCACCACCATGAGAGCCCTGCTGGCACACCTGCTTCTCTGCGTCCTGGTCGTGAGCGACTCCAAAGTGAGTGCTCCCTTGCTTTGACCGATGCCGCCCGAGGACCTCTGATCAGCACCAGGGGAGAGGAGGGGGCTGCTCAGGGAGCGGGGGTCCTTCGGCTTCCATCCATAGCAGGGCCAGGCTCTCCCCAGGAAATGGGACAGGGTGGCAGCGGAGGCTTGAGAACCACGGGGGTTGGCACTGACCAGCAAGGGAGGAAGAAGCCGCCGGGACTGCCCCAGCCTGCGGGCATCTGGTAGCTGAAGCTTGCTTGGGTCAATCCATTTCTCCTTGCTGGAAACCCATGGTCTTCCATGTGAGAACTAGATATGAACAGGGTGAGGCGAGAGGGAAGGAAGAGTGGGTTTTGGGACTGGGTCCAGTTTACCCTCACCCTGGAGTCCCTGGAGCATGGGACCTTTGATGAAGCCTCCTCCCGAATCTCTTCCAGGGCAGCCGTGAACTTCAAGTTCCATGTGAGTATCCACCCCTACAACAATTGGCTGTACAGACATCCTGGGAAAGCTTCTGGGGACATCCCCTCCCTACCCCTGCTGCAGGGTTGCCCCAGCCCTTAGGGCTTCCACTCCCCCTCGCTTACCCTACCTTTGTTCTCTCCAGCAGACTGTGGCTGTCTAAATGGAGGAACATGTATGTCCAATAAGTACTTCTCCAGCATTCACTGGTGCAACTGCCCAAAGAAATTCGGAGGGCAGCACTGTGAGATAGGTATGGGGATCTCCACTGCAACTGGGAGTTAGGGGGCACCAAAAATTTGGGGACAGGGAGGGATGGGTGGGAGGCAAGAGCAGGCAGGAGTTAGGAGCTGGAGGTGGGGTGGGTGACATCTTCATCCCTATGTGGCAAGCATAAACACACACACTCCTGTGAAGCAATGGCCACACAAATGTGAGGTGCGGTTGGAAGGAGAACCTGTTCAGTCTTCTGGCAGGTCTGAAACCACATCATCTTTAAAATGTCCGTTGGCAGCTGGGCGTGGTGGCTCACGCTTGTAATCCCAGCATTTTGGGAGGCCAAGGTGAGTGGATCATTTGAGGTCACGAGTTCAAGACCAGCCTGGCCAACATGGTGTAACCCTGCCTCTACTAAAAATACAAAAATCAGCCTGGCATGGTGGTGGATGTCTGTAGTCCCAGCTGCTTGGGAGGCTGAGGCAGGAGAATCGCTTGAACCTGGGAGGCAGAGGTTGCAGTGAGCTGAGATCACAACACTGCACTCCAGCTGGGCGACACAGCAAGACTTCGTCTCAAAAAAAAAAAGCTCGTTGGAACGTCCTTCTCTTTCTCACATTCTCTCATCCTCCTGTCCCCTCGTAGATAAGTCAAAAACCTGCTATGAGGGGAATGGTCACTTTTACCGAGGAAGGGCCAGCACTGACACCATGGGCCGGTCCTGCCTGGCCTGGAACTCTGCCACCGTCCTTCAGCAAACATACCATGCCCACAGATCTGATGCTCTTCAGCTGGGCCTGGGGAAGCACAATTACTGCAGGTGAGGTGGGGGCAACAAGGACCAAGAGTCCTCCCCACAGCTTCCCAGAAACCTTGTTACCATCCCCTTCTCCCAGAGGGCCGGCCATAGCATGAGAGAAGTGCAGTCTCTGGTTGAGTCTTCCCTGAGGGGAGGAGGCAGGGAAGGCCCTCTGGGTTGGAATGACATCCCCTATCTTTCTGTGTTGTCAGGAACCCAGACAACCGGAGGCGACCCTGGTGCTATGTGCAGGTCGGCCTAAAGCAGCGTGTCCATGAGTGCATGGTGCATAACTGTGCAGATGGTGAGCATCACTGACCTGCTGATGACAGTGGGGTGGAAGGGGACAAACTCGCATGTCCCCTTATTCCATCACAGGAGGGTTGAGGAGGTGAGGGGCGCCCGAGAGGGATGCTTTCTCCTAACCGCCTCCCCAAGACATCCCTCTGTTTGTCCTCCAGGAAAAAAGCCCTCCTCTCCTCCAGAAGAATTACAGTTTCAGTGTGGCCAAAGGACTCTGAGGCCCCGCTTTAAGATTGTTGGGGGAGAATTCACCACCATCGAGAACCAGCCCTGGTTTGCAGCCATCTACAGGAGGCACCGGAGCGGCTCTGCCACCTACGTGTGTGGAGGCAGCCTCATCAGCCCTTGCTGGGTGGTCAGCGCCACACACTGCTTCATGTACGACCCTGGGGTTTCTCCTCTTTGACTCTTCTGCCCCACCCCAAACACATCCCCTTCTCCTTCCCAGCAAAGGGTTCCGCCTCATTTCTCCCTCGTCTGCCCCTCTCCTTGCAGCCCATGGCCTTGGGGACAAGTCATGCTTTGAGGCCTCTAGGGAGGGAAGGAAGAAGTGGCAGGATTTCATGGGACTAGGCTGTCTGATGGATTTCTTCTCCCACAGTAATTACCCAAAGGAGGACTACATCGTCTACCTGGGTCGCTCAAGGCTTAACTCCAACATGCAAGGGGAGATGAAGTTTGAGGTGGAAAACCTCATCCTACATGAGGACTACAGCGCTGACACGCTTGCTCACCACAACGACATTGGTGAGGGGGAACCCCGCGACTGCTGTGGCCATGATGGCTTGGGGAGAGTGGGACCCAGGGAGAGACCGGAGCTGAGGTTGAAGCTGGCTGGTGGGGCAGGGGTGGGGTGGGGGACCTTGAAGCCTCAATATACATGACAATATACATGACAAAGGTGGTGGGGAAGAGTTCCATAAAGTCTGAGGGGTCCGGTGCTCCTGTGGAGAGACCCTGAATTTCCCCAACAAGTAGCCTCTTGCGAGTGGAAATGGCTCTGTGGGTATATGGCTTGGGCTGGGAATGCCCTGTTTATACGAATTAGAAAAAGACGCCCCTTCCTTTGTGGAATGTAGCCTCTGTCTGTGTTGGGATGTAGAACTTGGAGAATGGAGCTTTGGGCTGGATTCCAGCCTAACTACCTCACCTGGGACTTTTTGCAGAAACTACCTATAAAGGTGTATGCAGTGGCTCTGGCCATCCAAGACTTTTTCAACACCTGTAACAAAGCCCTTGGGGCATGGGGCAGGGGAGGTTTCCAGGTGATAAGCGACCAGCAGACCTCCCTGGATGACTGACCTAGGGATAGACATAGCTACTTCCTTGGTACTTGAAGGGGACAGATGGGGACCACCTAACCAGTAGTGATCTTTCTCCTCTCATCCTCTGTCCTCCCCCAGCCTTGCTGAAGATCCGTTCTAAGGAGGGCAGGTGTGCGCAGCCATCCCGGACTATACAGACCATCTGCCTGCCCTCAATGTCTAATGATCCTAACGATCCTAACGATCCCCCTTCTGGCACAAGCTGTGAGATCACTGGCTTTGGAAAAGAGAATTCTAGTAAGTGAAAATTGGGACTGACTTAGGAGGTCCTGGGGAGTGTTTTGACCTGAAAGCAAGCCCAGCATGATCAAGGGAAGACTGCAGAGTTAGAGATGGGAGCACTGAGGAGGTGGCAGATGGGTCCAGGGATGGATGAGGACTGTTGTTTAGGGAGTGATGGGCTGCAAAGGTAAATAGATGGTAGGGGCTATAGGTGGAGTAAAGGCTCAGATTTGCATGGAAAAGAATAAGGGCCTTCCCTGGTAGAGACACTTTATGGTTCCCCTCCCTGGCAGACTCCCAGTGGACAGATAAATCTTGACGCAAATGCCTCCCTGTTTTCTTCGCTTAGCCGACTATTTCTATCCGGAGCAGCTGAAAATGACTGTTGTGAAGCTGGTTTCCCACGAGAAGTGTCAGCAGCCCCACTACTACGGCTCTGAAGTCACCACCAAAATGCTGTGTGCTGCTGACCCACAGTGGAAAACAGATTCCTGCCAGGTGAGAGTTCTAAGCATCTCTCTCCATCTCTTCCATATCTCCCCAGAACTCCTGGGCTTGTCCCAGCCAGCTTTGGGGTGTCTCTCTCTAGCCAAAGCCCTAAGTAGCCAGAATCAGGAGCTCAGGTCTTTGAGGGTTTAAACCAATGCTTGTGTGTTTACCAAACATTACCAAAAAAATCCCAGCTCTGTGCTAGTCGCTTAAGACTGGGGGCACGAGATCCTAGAAAGAGGAAACAGTAAAAGACAATGTAACTCAGTGCCCAGGGTGCGTTGTGAACTATAAATGATCAGGTGTTCAGGAGAGGGAGGTGAGTGTCAACTTGAGGGTCAGGGAGGGGAGGCTTTAAAGGAAATGTGACTTGATAGGCATTTGAAGAGGCAGAAGGAAGAAAGGAGGGTGTTTCAGTTGAAAGATACAAAACTGAGTAGGAGGCTAGCATATTCCGGGTGGGGAGGAAAAGTAGGGTCTGGGAGTATGGATGGAATAGCAGCAGACGACAGGGGTTTTAAAACCAAGCAGGGGATTTTAAACTTGATATGGTAGAAAATGGGGCTGTGCCAGGCACAGTGGCTCATGCATGTAATCCCAGCACTTTGGGAGGCTGAGGTGGGTAGATCACTTGAGGCCAGGAGTTTGAGACCAGCCTGGCCAACATGGTGAAACCCTGTCTCTACTAAAAATACAAAAAAAAACTAGCCAGGTGTGGTGGTACATGCCTGTAATCCCAGCTAATCAGGAGGCTGAGACATGGGAATTGCATGAGCACAGGAGGCAAGTTTGCAGTGAGCCGAGACAGTGTCATTGCACTCCAGCCTGGGCGACAGAGGGAGATTGTTCCCCCCGCCCCCCAAAAAAAGAAAGAAAATGGGAAGTCACTAAGGACTTTGACTGGGAAACTCTTCCCTCTCTCAGGTATGGTTGGGTGGTGGGATCAGAAACCCCCTCCTCACTTCTCTAGGGCTCATCTTTTGTGTCTTTGGCTTCACAGAGAGACTCAGGGGGACCCCTTGTCTGTTCCATCCAAGGCCACATGACTTTGACTGGAATTGTGAGCTGGGGCCGTGGATGTGCCCTAAAGGACAAGCCAGGCGTCTACACGAGAGTCTCATGCTTCTTGCCCTGGATTCACAGTCACACCAGGGAAGAGAATGGCCTAGCCCTCTGAGGGTCCCCAGGGAGGAAACGGGCACGACCCACTTTCTTGCTGGCTGTCATTTTTGCAGTAGAGTCATCTCCATCAGCTGTAAGAAGAGACTGGGAAGACAGGCTCTGCACAGATGGATTTTCCTGTGCCACCCACCAGGGCGAACAACAATAGCTTTACCCTCAGGCATAGGCCTGGGTGCTGGCCGCCCAGACCCCTCTGGCCAGGATGGAGGGGTGGTCCTGACTCAAGATGTTACTGACCAGCAACTTGTCTTTTTCTGGACTGAAGCCTGCAGGAGTTAAAAAAGGCAGGGCATCTCCTGTGCATGGGTGAAGGGAGAGCCAGCTCCCCTGATGGTGGGCATTCATAAGGCCCATGATTGAGAAATGAATAATTTCCCAATTAGGAAGTGTAACAGCTGAGGCCTCTTGAGGGCGCTTAGCCAATATAGGAGCAGCAGTTTGGGGAGTAGAGACACTAATGATTT